TGTTGTTGTTGTTGTTGTTGTTGTTGTTGTTGTTGTTGTTGTTGTTGTTTATGTATTGTTGTTGTTGTTTTTTTTTTTTTTTAAACAAAAAAACAAATGTTGTTTTTTTATGTTGTTATTTAGGTTTCATGTTTTGACACGTTTCATAGTTCTGGACATGCGGTTATATATTTCAGGTATTTGTTTGAAAGTACATACTCTCTCTATGTTTTAGTAACTCTGGAAAAAAACCGTATGATCAGGCCATACACAAACCATAGAGGGTGACAAGAGGGCAGCTCCAAAGAAAAACAAGAGTAGGAGGTGAGGAAGATTCTGAAGAGAAAAGTTCGCAATAGTATTTTTTCCAGCAGTCCCAAAGGGGTGCTATCCCTTTAGGGGTGCCCCTGTCACGGGGGTGCCCCTGTGTGACCCTTGGATGGCGTATCATGTCATATAATGTTGGATCTGTGTCAGTAAAGGGGGGTCCCCCCCTTCAAACAAATAGAGGGTCCTCTATAGTAAACTACCACCAAAACAAATCTGGGTTCCTAGGAGGAATCCTTAAACAAATTCATTATTGATGATCACGGGCCTTCCTGGTCTACTACCTTGAACATTTGTTTTGGGGCAATCTTTACATAAAGGATTGATTAGGGAATTGATGGTTTTGGGAAACTGTCAGTTTTGAAGAAGAACTATAGAAACCTATACTTATCAATACTCTCAGCAAGCCAACCATTGGCTGAGTAGTATTAAGAAAAACAATGATTATTTTTCTATAGGAAATATAACTAACCCTAGATAGTTTTCAGATAATAAAAAAAATAGGATCCAGTTTTTGTTAGCATAATAGAAGACCCTTAAAACAAACCATATTTTTTTCACACATTTAGCATTATAGAGGACCCTATTACTAATCAGCATCCAACATTACTATAGATGCATGCTCCAGTCCCATGGAGTGTTTGGTTCATAATTCTGCCAAGAGAGTCATGATGAGTGTCCAAGTCCAATCCCTGAGCTCCAAAAATTGCAGATGATGCGTCGTCATGTCTATTCCACCGGCCACCCCAGAAAAAGTTTGTCGCTGTACCTGGCAGAACACGCGCGCGACGCACGATGCCGAATGCGACCATGGTGGAGGATGAACATCACCCCCATGCCCAAATCAAACAGTCCCGTGCCCCAGGAGTTGTATTTTTTTCCTTTGAGCTGTTGTTGTTTTAGCACAGCAACAGAAACAAGAAGGCAAAGAGGGCATGAAAGCGTCCTTCCACAGCGATGCGTGGCTGACAGACACTTTCATTGGGAGGGCCAGATGTGCAACATCTACTTGAAGCAGAGGGGTAGCATTCAGATCCCTAGCCTTCCAAGACCGTTACAAGAAAGGTTGACTCCGGTTTCGCAATCTAACATGCATTGAACAAACACATGAAACAAACACGTCAACGCTGAACACGTCAACGGGATTCAGGCGGACATAAATCAACCATCAGGTGGACCAAATCAATCGGGTGTTGGGAGCCTCTCGCTTTACCCAACCAGAGCTCCGACCGACAGGAAGAGCTTTTGCAGAGCCACTCGGAGCTCCAAGCAGAGTTCGGGACACCGAGAGAGCTGATGGACGACAGACCTGAGAGCCCAAGTCGAGACGAGACAAGGTTCGAGCAAAGGTTTTCTCGGCGCGGCGACTTGTAAAGAAAATCCTAAGGTGGCTGGATCCTTACAAGGCTAAGGGTGGTAAAAGAATTTTTCATTCCCTACTAAGGATTGGGCAAGAGTTTGTTTTGTGTGTTTTTTTCTTGGGGGCGGAAGAACCGGGTTTGTTTGTTGTTTGTTGTTGTCGCATGAGTTTTGACTTGACATGACTTGACCAACATTGGAATGACTTCTTGGTGGGGGGGCTCCCCGAAACACTTGACCGACGTTTGGTGTATGTCAGTGCATGTCGCAGTGGCTTTCAATGTTTGCTGCTTGGACCCACATGAGCGGCACGATCAACATGTAGGGAGTTGATGGTGGGTCAAGGTCAGGTGTTGCGAATTCCATGTGAGTGCCAACTGCATTTGGGGCAAACTCCAGGCTGGCCTGGAGCAACTCTTCATGTTCGAATGGCATGGAGAAACCTCAAAGAAGCCTCAACTCCGCCTCCCCAGCACTTTGGGTCAGGTTCCTTTTGATTTATGTGGAGTTTATTACTTTGCTGACTCAACAGATGTTTTGTGGGGAGCTTGATGCATCTTCAAAACCCCTATGGATCCACATACCGAACCTGACAAGGTGATTGGAGACTATTTCTGCAGGTGCCAGGAGGGCCCGGTCAAACCTTCTGACAAGGTATGTATGTGGATCTATCGGGAACAAGCAGCCAGTGCGATGCCCGGTAACATGAAATTCTCACCCAGACACCCACTTCGAGCTCCCCCAGCTTTCCACCCAAACCGCCCAAAAGGAGCGGGGTCCAAATCATCGGGTGCTGCCTTAGGAGCGCAGCTTCAAAGGGGTGAGGTCAACCCAGTTTAGACGTCCGAAGGAACTCGGCACAGAAGACAATCAGGTATGGGCAGAGTTTGGCAGACGATGCGGACTGGAATAAGTACATGCCAGCCTCATTGATGACCCCAAGTAATAAATAGAACATGCCAGCCCCATGAATGTCTGATCGAAAGCTGTGGTACGTGGCTACCCAGGCCCGGCCGGGATTTCACACATGCACCGGTTGTTTCGGGCGGTTTTAGGGGTTGGAGCCCCCCCATGCAGAGGCGACCGGCAAACCGAAGGGTAGTGCACAGAAAGGGTGTTGCAAAAACACATTCTACTATTAACTCCATGTTGTTTTCGCACTCCATTCTCTCATGTCGTCATTTTCTTGGATCACTTATGCTCCACAAGCTGCGATACCCAGGCAGGATAGACAGACTCCAGTGCCAATCATGTTTAACTCAGGGAAGAACCACGTCCTCAAGTACACCTGTATGACTTCTCATGATTTCTAGTTATATCTTATAATTAAGATAATTGATTATTATCAGATGTAAATATAAACAACATGTAACTATATATATAATCCATCCAATTTGTATTTCATCATATCATTCACCGAAACCTCTTGCAATTCTTTGGGGCACAACCGCGAACTGACAGCACGCGAAACCCCAGACCCACGCTTGAAAGCCCGAACACACGATGGAGCCGTTGACCACGCGGATGCGATGGCGCTTGCGGCCGCTTTGTGCATTTTCATCCCAGCACTGGTGCAAGATGAGGCGTGGGTCATAACGCTGATGAAAGCACCCTGTCGGCCTATACCCTAAGGGTCCAGGACTATCCTGAGGATGGTTTTGGAGGTGAAAGTGCTTCCTGAGAATGGTCTTTGGGGTCAAAGGACATCCTCAGGATGGTCCTGGACCCTTAGTAATAGGATTCGTTGACATGTGTGGCAGCTTCCCATTTTTGTATTTTTTGTCAGGGGTCAACCAGGATTTGGGGTTGACTCACACCCATGATGGCCGAGCATGGAGGAAGCGTAGCACTTACAGTTCCACGTCTAGGGTCGAAGATGAGTTTAGTTTGTTTTTATTTGCATGCAGACTTGTTTACAAGCTGTTTTGGCAATTGACTGGGGGCTTAGACTGACATCCAAACGTTGAGGGACCAACAAACTTATAGTGCAAATGCTACCTTTGCAACAGGTGGGTCTTGACACGAGCTGTTGGTTTTGACATTTTAGTGTAATTGCCAACAACATCAAGTTCAACATGTAACAGTTAGTTTAACTTTCGGTGGTCTATAGGTCCCTATCCCTCTCAAATTGTCTAACCATCATAAGATTAGGACGAGTCCAATCACAATTAGGACGAGTCCAGTGTGATCAGATAGTCAGACAAGTCCAGCCCTTAAGACCGCCATGGTCGAACGTGCAGCGCGTGGTTTGGGTTGAATCCTATACGAGAAGACCACCATCTACCATGAGAGCTGGGGGACTCCGTGGTGAGCGCAGTTCCGGAACTGGCCTGTCAGATTGAAGTCATTGAAGTCTGGCAATCAATCGCAGATGTCCTGTTCTGCAACAAAAACATCAAAGTTAATGATTCATTCCAACTCCTTTCCGCACTTACATGATATAAACCTGCCAGTGGTTTGCATCGAGACAAGGCGAAGGTGTCGGACTTTGGTCGAATGGCTCAAGCTATTCGAGCCTTGACTCTCAAGCTTTGCACCGATTTGCACCGGTTCGCGTCGGGTTCGGGAAGAAAGGCGAAGCATCAGATTTCACACTGGTGACACTTCCCACCAACAGAAGTTGAAGAGCCCTAGTTAGACTATCTCATCCCTGGGGCTCCAGTCGTACCTTCTGAGAAGGTGTTTGGGGTGGGTTTGGAGGGTCCAAATACTTTAAATACTTTGTACTTGGAGCCCTAGGCATAGGACCCCAGGCTACGGATCCGTTTCAGGCCACGGAAAAAAATCAAAAAAACCTCTCTTGGCAGGTCTCATCACTGACCTGGTCACACCTACAGAGACCTGCCTCACCAGCTGCCAGTATTCGGATAGGGGGTCATTTGTCTTCATGAGTGTACAGTTCACCCGGCTTCGTTTTGTAGCCAACACCCGAACAAACAGGTATACCCTATACCGTTTTCTACGGATTTTCTGAGGTGCAAAGAAGCTACTAGCAAGAAGGGCATCGCTACTAGAATCAAGAGCATTACTACTAGTAGCAAGAAGCTGCTAGTAGCGATGCCCTTGTTACTAGTAGGGATGCCCTTGTTACTAGTAGCAAGAAGCTATTTTGTATTTTCACAGATCGACCCCGCTGCCTGGTTGGTGCCTAGCCAATTCTTACAGCGCACGGATAAAGCAGCAACCCCCTGGTGCCCAGTCTGAGGGAAACAACACAACCACGGATAAAGCAAGCTTGCTTTGTTTGTGTGTGTCACCAAGACGTCTTTATGGAGGCGATGGCTTTTCGGGGGCCAATGAAAGGCCAGGCCCTTGGGATTTGTTAGGGTTTGGATCCATGCCAGGCACCACCCTGATCTGTCTCTAAACGATTCGGACTGGATCCGAGTCATTCCGAGTCGGTCCCATTTCAACAAACAAACGAACCCCACGTGGTAAACGCTCGTGCCTCATTTCACGCGTTTGGAGCCGCTCCTTTTGAGGCCAGACATGGCTCACGAACAGTACCTTCTTCGTGCATCCGAGCCCACCACCAACGGGCTTGCTGGATGAGCTGAAGGGCTTGCAGAGACTGGCGCTGCCGGAAGACGCAGCGACCAGCTGGGGTTTGAGGGCCTTGCACTTCTGGAGACTTGTTTTGCACTTCTGGAGACTCTCAGTCATACGTTTGAACTAATCGGCACCCCCATCCCACCGGAAGTGAGAGTGTTTTTGGAAGGATTGGCTTTGTGAAGACCTCAGACTTAAACGGATCTGCCATCCTCAGACTTAACTGGGATCCCATAGATAGGCTCATCCATGCTCTATTTTGACATCAACCAGTCCATCACAGCCGTTTAGCAAAGTGCCATCACAGCCGGACAGGTGATGACCGGACCGGTGAAGAGAACGATCTCAGATCAGTACTATCCGTCGAAAGAGACAGTTCCAGGACATGTCATGTTTGGGGCTTACATTGACCCCTTGCAAGACAGCACCCTCATTTTAGGCATATATAGGTAAATATGCCAGTCATTGCCAGTCCCATGAAGTCTTGGGTTTTTCGCACCTTTTGGCAGGTGGTGCCACGAATGACCTCCAAAGTGATTGGACCTCGAAAACAAGCTGAATGAGTTTCAGCGCGAAGTTTGAAGTCAGAGATCAAACTTGTTGGGGAAAGAACACTGTAGCTGTTCGTTCAACCATGGCTTCAGACATTTGCTTGATGCATCGCGGCGATTTGAGGAAGCACGCGGTCTCGTTGATGGAGGAAGTGGGTGGCAGCGGCAAGTGTGATTGGATCATGAAAGTCCCGGTGTCAAGTTACGTGAATGCGCCTAAATCGCATCGCACACTTGCTGTCCAAATGCTTGGTCGTCGGTGGCTTCGGTGGTTGTGGTTGTTTGCTCGTTGTGGTTGTTGCGCATGTTTTGCTTTCCCAAGTTGCACGTTTGCGTTTGCTGCTAGGAAAGGTGTCACTGTCTACAGGCGACGTTTCATCGCATTTCTGCGCGAGAGCTTGACCTTGAGCCGTGTTTTTGGGAATTCAGATGCCCTAACCTGCCATGAACAGATGGGGAAGGATTTGCTTTTTAAGACTGAAGACAAACCACTGACTGTCCTTTTCAGCTACCAAATTAGGACTGGAGATGGATTGGATCCGTCATCAGGTTTGAGCTTCAACTAGTTCAGTTGTCACTTGCATGAGCAAAACCAGTCAAGTTCCCTACAGTTCATATACCAGGGCCTTCAAGGGGTGGTTAATGGACACCCCTTAATGGCCTCCAGGCCTCCGCGCGAGGCCGCGCGCCTCGCGCCTCGCGGGGTGTTCGTTTCCCGAGGTGCCGACCTTAGAAAATCGACTGAGCTGCTTCAACGCATCGGACTCATTCTATTTGGGCGTCCCCACCGTGGCCTACAGCCGATTGGGCTCAGA